GGGGGGACATGATCACCACATTCAAGATTCTGAAGGGGATTGATAGGGTAGATAAAGACAGTCTATTTAACACAAGGGGAACACGCACAAGGGGACACAGGTGGAAACTGAGTGCCCAAATGAGCCACAGAGATATTAGAAAGAACTTTTTTAGTGTCAGAGTGGTTGACAAATGGAATGCATTAGGGGGTGATGTGGTGGAGGCTCACTCCATACACAGTTTCAAGTGTAGATATGACAGAGCCCGATAGGCTCAGGAATCTGTACACCTGTTGATTGACGGTTGAGAGGCGGGACCAAAGAGCCAGAGCTCAACCCCCGCAAACACAACGAGGTGAATACAACTAGGTGAATACACACACACGCTAAATATGATAAACAGGACAGGTGTCATTGTCTTCGATAATCGGCGGGTAGAAAGGTGGGGCCCAAGAGCTCACGGCCGATCCTGCAGGCACATATAGGTGAATACACACACCTGTCACAGTGCACAAGGTCGTTCCTGATGATTGACTATAAGCATCTTGGATTGGTGTTTGCGTGCGAGAGAGCTGCTCTGGCGGTACGCTGATGTTTCTCCGGTACGGACCGAGGCAACATCTCCGGTACGGACCGAGGCAACATCTCCGGTACGGACCGAGGAAACATCTCCGGTACGGACCGAGGCAACATCTCCGGTACGGACCGAGGAAACATCTCCGGTACGGACCGAGGAAACATCTCCGGTACGGACCGAGGCAACATCGGTACGGACCGAGGAAACATCTCCGGTACGGACCGAGGAAACATCTCCGGTACGGACCGAGGCAACATCTCCGGTACGGACCGAGGCAACATCTCCGGTACGGACCGAGGCAACATCTCCGGTACGGACCGAGGCAACATCTCCGGTACGGACCGAGGCAACATCTCCGGTACGGACCGAGGAAACATCTCCGGTACGGACCGAGGAAACATCTCCGGTACGGACCGAGGAAACATCTCCGGTACGGACCGAGGCAACATCTCCGGTACGGACCGAGGCAACATCTCCGGTACGGACCGAGGAAACATCTCCGGTACGGACCGAGGCAACATCTCCGGTACGGACCGAGGCAACATCTCCGGTACGGACCGAGGCAACATCTCCGGTACGGACCGACCGTAACTTACTCTGTGTAGCCTCCACTCTCCTTCGTCTGATATCATCTCCGTGGCTTAATTCAGCGGCGCTTCTCTAAACAATTCGTCAGTTCCAGGTTCGAGACCTGGCCTCACCAAGCTCTGGGATCGGCCTTGGATCCCAGACCAAGGCTAAGCACCCCATCAGGGACTCCGAAGGAGGAGGTGCGGGCGGCGACGACGACGACCGGAGCCCAAGACGCAGGCGCGTGCAAGGGTTGAGATGTGGGCGGCGGTGATCGGGATATGGCGGGGTTTTATAACAAGCTTAATAGTGGCCGCGGGTGAGAGACTGCAATAAAAGTGTCTTTGTAGTCGCCGACGTCTCGTCTGCTTGCGCCCTCTTGCTCCTCCTCCTCCGCCACACACACACACACACACACCTGCAGCCTCCCACTCACCCACACACTTCCATCCTCCCAGATGTTACTCATTACCTCCCACCTTAAACTAACTCCCCCCCTCCCTCCTTCCCTTCTCACACTGTCTACCATCTTTCTTATCTCATCCTTTTCACTTTGCTCTCCCTCACTTGCTCCCTCTTACCATCATTTATCTCACTCTCTCTTTATTGTCTTTGTTATCCCCCTTTTCCCCTCTTTCCTATTCGTCACCAGTCCTGTGACTGCTCACGGGTTGATACTCACGGAAGTCACATCCTCACGAGGCGCCATCACCAACCGTGAGGGTCCAGTCCTCACGAGGCGCCATCACCAACCGTGAGGGTCCAGTCCTCACGAGGCGCCATCACCAACCGTGAGGGTCCAGTCCTCACCAGGCGCCATCACCAACCGTGAGGGTCCAGTCCTCACCAGGCGCCATCACCAACCATGAGGGTCCAGTCCTCACCAGGCGCCATCACCAACCGTGAGGGTCCAGTCCTCACCAGGCACCATCACCAACCATGAGGGTCCAGTCCTCACCAGGCACCATCACCAACCGTGAGGGTCCAGTCCTCACCAGGCACCATCACCAACCGTGAGGGTCCAGTCCTCACCAGGCACCATCACCAACCGTGAGGGTCCAGTCCTCACCAGTATAACCATATGAACTTATTTTTCCTGCTTGTGTGCGACCAATTGGCTTGGCTTTAACGCCTCATTGAGTACTAATGAGTGTGGACGAGTATATCCACCGTGTTGGCGTGAACTGGGTATACTGTCTGTTCTTGATATGGGTATATTTTATATATATACTGTCTGGTGGTACTATGTGGGTATACTGTATGCTGGTACTCCAGGAGACGGAGAACTTACCAAGGAATCATTTATTTTATAAAACTTGAGACCAATATGGAGTCCAAACACAGCTGATGGCATTTACGACACAAATACAGTTGTGGAACAGGTGTATCACAGATGCAAGGTAATCATGCAGATATACAACAATGTATGATAAATAGAGATACGTGTAGTTAATACTAGGTTGTATTTTATATATATATATATATATATATATATATATATATATATATATATATATATATATATATATATATATATATATATATATATTAGTATATTTTGGTAGCAGTCTTTCCTGTAGACATATTTTATTAAATATGACCGAAAAAGTAAGATTAATAATTCTAACACGAATTTTCTCAATCTTTCGTACATTATGCTTCACTGTTGGAGGTAAATCAAAAATCACTTCTCCAAAATTCATTTTTATTTCTAGTCTGACGCGACACGGGCGCGTTTCGTAAAACTTATTACATTTTCAAAGACTTCACAAATACACAACTGATTAGAACTTGCATTTCCCTGATTTTATATCTACTTTTGAGTGAGGTGGGAAGGGTGATGTGGCATTACATTTGAGTGAGGTGGGAAGGATGATGTGGCATTAGAGGATATTAATAGGGTATTAAAAGTATCAACACAAGACAGAACACGAAACAATGGATATTGAATAGAAGTGTTTGTAGAAAGCCTATTGGTCCATATTTCTTGATGCTTCTATATTGGAGCGGAGTCTTGAGGTGGGTAGAATATAGTTGTGCAATAATTGGCTGTTGATTGCTGGTGTTGACTTCTTGATGTGTAGTGCCTCGCAAACGTCAAGCCGCCTGCTATCGCTGTATCTATCGATGATTTCTGTGTTGTTTACTAGGATTTCTCTGGCGATGGTTTGGTTATGGGAAGAGATTATATGTTCCTTAATGGAGCCCTGTTGTTTATGCATCGTTAAACGCCTAGAAAGAGATGTTGTTGTCTTGCCTATATACTGGGTTTTTTGGAGCTTACAGTCCCCAAGTGGGCATTTGAAGGCATAGACGACGTTAGTCTCTTTTAAAGCGTTCTGTTTCGTGTCTGGAGAGTTTCTCATGAGTAGGCTGGCCGTTTTTATAAACCAGATTTTTCTTTTAAATTTTTAAATTTTAAAGATTTAAATTTTTCTATAAAACCAGAAAAACGGCCAGCCTACTCATGAGAAACTCTCCAGACACGAAACAGAACGCTTTAAAAGAGACTAACGTCGTCTATGCCTTCAAATGCCCACTTGGGGACTGTAAGCTCCAAAAAACCCAGTATATAGGCAAGACAACAACATCTCTTTCTAGGCGTTTAACGATGCATAAACAACAGGGCTCCATTAAGGAACATATAATCTCTTCCCATAACCAAACCATCGCCAGAGAAATCCTAGTAAACAACACAGAAATCATCGATAGATACAGCGATAGCAGGCGGCTTGACGTTTGCGAGGCACTACACATCAAGAAGTCAACACCAGCAATCAACAGCCAATTATTGCACAACTATATTCTACCCACCTCAAGACTCCGCTCCAATATAGAAGCATCAAGAAATATGGACCAATAGGCTTTCTACAAACACTTCTATTCAATATCCATTGTTTCGTGTTCTGTCTTGTGTTGATACTTTTAATACCCTATTAATATCCTCTAATGCCACATCATCCTTCCCACCTCACTCAAATGTAATGCCACATCACCCTTCCCACCTCACTCAAAAGTAGATATAAAATCAGGGAAATGCAAGTTCTAATCAGTTGTGTATTTGTGAAGTCTTTGAAAATGTAATAAGTTTTACGAAACGCGCCCGTGTCGCGTCAGACTAGAAATAAAAATGAATTTTGGAGAAGTGATTTTTGATTTACCTCCAACAGTGAAGCATAATGTACGAAAGATTGAGAAAATTCGTGTTAGAATTATTAATCTTACTTTTTCGGTCATATTTAATAAAATATATATATATATATATATATATATATATATATATATATATATATACATTCGTAAAAAATAACAATTTTCCCAGTCATTTTCCCAATAACTAAGACCTTAAAAACTGTTGATATATAACGTGAATTATTTTGTTTCAACATAAGATAAAACAATTACATTAATTGTAATATGAAATATATAAAATGAACTTATATGTTTAATGTATTTGACTTGAAAGATCATTTAATATTTAAGTTAGCGTAATGAAATGGGATTATAGATGTAACCAAAATAGTGAGTTGTGATTAAATTGCAATAATTTATTTTAATAATTACGAAAATACTCTATAGCTCCTTATAGGAGTAGAGAGCCATGCCATGGTACCATATTAGGGACTGTTTCAAGCGCAGGTGTGACATAAATGAATGAGCTTGGGTAGCTCTTAAGTAGGAGCTGCCTCGAGATAGGCTTTCTGCAGTTCCCTTAGACGTTAACAGATCTGTAAATACCGGCATGAATATCCATTTTTTTAAGACTTATATGCCGGTAGGTAAGATCAAGGATAACGTTACTGGATAACTGATAACAATGATGACTACCAATATTTACGTTGCATGTGTCTAATGTTGTGGCTTTCGTTTGCAGGAAGATGTTCCCTGTGGTGAAGGTGTCTGTTGGGGACCTCGAGCCTTCGGCCATGTACTCCATATTTCTCGACTTTGTCCAGGTCGACTCCCACAGGTAAGATGCTGTTACAGTTTGTCCTGGTCGACTCCCACAGGTAAGATGCTCTTACAGTTTGACCTGGTCGACTCCCACAGGTAAGATGCTGTTAGAGTTTGTCCTGATCGACTCCCACAGGTAAGATGCTCTTACAGTTTGACCAGGTCGACTTCCTCAGGTAAAGAAACCTGTGTTATCTTGTGATTCAGCACATGCAAAATTCATTGCCGAATTCTTGTTTTGATAATTATCAGGTTCAGGACGTTCCGACTCTCTGCTGACCAACCTCACATGGTTGTGAATAAATATGTATAAAGACCTAGCTAGCCTGTGCTAGATAGTGGCTGATCAAAGTGCATTCCCTAAAGTCTTATTGTGTGTTACAGGTGGAAGTACGTGAATGGGGAATGGGTTCCTGGGGGCAAGCCCGAGATGGCCCCGCCGTCAGCCGTCTACATGCACTCCGACTCCCCGAACTTCGGCAGCCACTGGATGAAGGACCCCGTCTCCTTCATCAAGGTCAAGCTGACCAACAAGTCCAACAACAACGGCCAGGTGAGAGTCCCGACCATTGTCTTACATGCTAACGGACATAACAAGCACGGATCTTGAAGTCGGCGCTGCCGATAAGTCATGCGAACGCTGAGTCTCAAGGACACCCTTCTCACCGTGGGTGTGGGTTAGTTTGGTATTTTCTGCCCTTGAATCTTTAAAATAAGGCCATGGCCAGTTTAGATCTGTGTAGGAGGTTCCAACTTCATGTGAGTTCTGCTGCATGATGGTGTTGGTGGCATTTTGACGGATAGTTGGAGTGTGTAGACCACGTCTCAGCTGATGTGACCATGGATTGACAAGCCACGCCGCCCGACAATTAAAAGTCGTCAGAAAAACAGGGATGATAAAGTGCCATAAACCCATAATGGAGGAGGGTCAGTGGTTGTGTTTTATGAGAGATGGCACCAGTCTCTCTGTCCCCGTGTGGGTCACACTCGCCCTCCTTCCCTCTACCCGTCACACCCTCTTCCCGTCACGGCCCCCCCTCCCTCAGCCCGTCACACCCTCCCTCCCTCCCACGACCCGGCACGGCCTCAATTCCAAAACACCCTCGGTTTATTCTCCCTAATAAACAAGTTTCCCCTTTTAAGATAGATATAAGATTGACTAAAAAGAAAAAATTATAACACTTTGTTCAACATATGACAGAAAATAGTTTTGGTGTTAATTGTGCGTTAATGTGAGGTTGTGGAGGTCTATCGTGACGGGACGAAGGTCCGACGGGTCCCTCCGCTGGGCGTCCATCCTGGCTTGTGGTAGGTGTTTAACTGTTTGATTGTGGCACCTCGTGCACCGTAAGGCTCTCCCTCGCTACTGTCACTCGTGGCTCTCCCTCACCACCACCACCACTCGTGGCTCTCCCTCACCACCACCACCACTCGTGGCTCTCCCTCACCACCACCACCACTCGTGGCTCTCCCTCACCACCACCACCACTCGTGGCTCTCCCTCACCACCACCACCACTCGTGGCTCTCCCTCACCACCACCACTCGTGGCTCTCCCTCACCACCACCACTCGGAGCACACCGCCGCGCCTCCCGCTGTCAGCCTCAGTGTGTGCTCGCCACCGCTGGCCGCCGCCTGGAGTCTGGAGGTCAGTGGTGGCGTGCCGGGACCTCCCAGGGCCTGTGCCCTGTATTACGCTACTTATTGACCATTTAAAATCTTTAGAAGCATCATTTTACAGCTCCAATAAATACCCTGAGGACACCGGACACCTCCCGGGACCTGCCACGACCAATAAACCCGAACTAAAGGTCTTCATTAGCCTCATACTGTAGGCGGGAGACCTCCTTGGGGGGGGGGACCTTGAGGGCGCTAAGAGTTTAGATGTGGCAGTTTTCTTTAATTATTATAATTGATGTGTTAATTAGCAAGATTATATACACTGTGTGTGTGTATTGACTTATGTGTTTGTGTTGTGAAGGTTCGTAGGGTTTTGATGTGGTCACTTTGACTTGTTGGTGTACCAAGTATTCTGCCTTGTTCCCTGTTGTGTTCCCTGCCATGTATCCTGGACCCTGCCCCATATACTGTCATACACCCTGCCCCATATACTGTCATACACCCTGCCCCATACACTGTCATACACCCTGCCCCATATACTGTCATACACCCTGCCCCATATACTGTCATACACCCTGCCCCATATACTGTCATACACCCTGCCCCATATACTGTCATACACCCTGCCCCATATACTGTCATACACCCTGCCCCATATACTGTCATACACCTTGGCCCTTACTGTATAATGCACCTTGCCATGCGTCCTGCCTTGCTCCCTGTCCCTCCCTTTCCCCTAGACCTATGCCTCACCACCTCCTCCTCCCCCAGACCTATGCCTCACCACCTCCTCCTCCCCCAGACCTGAGCCTCACCACCTCCTCCTCCTCCCCCAGACCTGAGCCTCACCACCTCCTCCCCCAGACCTGAGCCTCACCACCTCCTCCTCCCCCAGACCTGAGCCTCAACACCCCCCCCCCTCCCCCAGACCTGAGCCTCACCACCTCCCCTAGACCTGAGCTTCACCTCCTCCCCCAGACCTGAGCCTCACCACCTCCCCCTCCCTCAGACCTGAGCCTCACCACCTCCTCCTCCCCCAGACCTGAGCCTCACCACCTCCTCCTCCCCCAGACCTGAGCCTCACCACCTCCTCCTCCTCCCCCAGACCTGAGCCACACCACCTCCCCCAGACCTGAGCCTCACCACCTCCTCCTCCAGACCTGAGCCTCACCACCTCCTCCTCCCCCAGACCTGAGCCTCACCACCTCCTCCTCCCCCAGACCTGAGCCTCACCACCTCCTCCTCCCCCAGACCTGAGCCTCACCACCTCCCCCTCCCCCAGACCTGAGCCTCACCACCTCCTCCTCCTCCCACAGATTATGCTCAACAGCCTGCACAAGTACGAGCCCCGCTTGCGGGTGGTGCAGGTGGTCCAGGTGGATAAGGAGCAGCAGCAGCGGATAATCTCCTGCCACACCTTCCCTGAGTGCCAGTTCATCGCTGTCACCGCCTACCAGAACGAGGAGGTCAGTGCCACTCTTCCACAGTTCTTTGAGGAGAACAAGAGAGCCAATGAGAGCTCTCGGCCTGTTCAAGTAATTACCCAGCCACACAAAAGTCAGACATATTATTGAAAAGTGAAACACTTTTTGTTAACGCTAATAAAGTGTTCGGAAACCGTGGTCAGTCTTGTAGAGGCTCAAGAGGCGGAGTTAATCGCAGCTTCCTCTATATATATCCGTATAGCGTAGCTTTCCTACGCTCCAGCGCTCGTAAATACTTCATGTGGTCAACCTCCCAGACCTCCCCCCCCCCCCACGCCTGACACACCCCAGTAACACTACACACTCCCAGATGCACCACAGTAACACTACACCCCCTGACACACCACAGTAACACTACACACTCCTGCCACACCCCAGTAACACTACACCCCCTGACATACCATAGTAACACTACACCCCCTGACACACCCCAGTAACACTACACTCCCTGCCACACCCCAGTAACACTACACTCCCTGACACACCCCAGTAACACTACACTCCCTGACACACCCCAGTAACACTACACTCCCTGACACACCACAGTAACACTACACCCCCTGACACACCCCAGTAACACTACACCCCTGACACACCACAGTAACACTACACCCCTGACATACCCCAGTAACACTACACCCCTGACACACCCCTGACACACCCCAGTAACACTACACCCCAGTAACACTAACACACCCCAGTAACACTACACCCCAGTAACACTAACGAACACTACACCCCAGTAACACTACACCCCCTGACACACCCCAGTAACACTACACCCCCTGACACACCCCAGTAACACTACACTCCCTGCCACACCCCAGTAACACTACACTCCCTGCCACACCCCAGTAACACTACACCCCCTGACACACCCCAGTAACACTACACTCCCTGCCACACCCCAGTAACACTACACACCCCCTGACACACCCCAGTAACACTACACTCCCTGACACACCCCAGTAACACTACACTCCCTGACACACCCCAGCCAACACTACACTCCCTGACACACCCCTACACTACACTCCCTGACACACCCCAGTAACACTACACTCCCTGACACACCCCAGTAACACTACACTCCCTGCCACACCCCAGTGACACTACACTCCCCCCTGCCACACCCAAGTACGGGAATCAACGTACACCTGCTTCTTAAATTTATTAAGCTTATCATACAACCGTTTTCTTTTATTACCAAAGTAGGCGTCGCGATCTGTTCAATACGTGAGCAAGAGCCATAAAGATAAGGTGGTCTTGTGTTAAGAGGCACGACACGGCTCTGGTGTGGGAAGTTACTCCGGAGAGGCCAGCTTACCTCAAGTCCCAGTCCACAGAGCCCTTACCTCGTCAGTCACTCCAGAGCCCCTTACTCCAGTGAGCCCTTACCTCACGCCCCTTACTCCAGTGAGCCCTTACCTCACGTCCCTTACTCCAGAGAGCCCTTACCTCACGCCCCTTACTCCAGAGAGCCCTTACCTCACGCCCCTTACTCCAGAGAGCCCTTACCTCACGCCCCTTACTCCAGTGAGCCCTTACCTTCACAGACACCCCAGAGTCTGACGAGGTAATTGGAATGTAAACCATTAATAAATAATTTAGTTGGAATTAACAATAAAAATAGTTATAAAATATTATTGGAATCATTATTGATATTATCCATTTATTGTTACCCTTGAAAGGTTTTAGTTATGCCATACTTATATAATAATAATAATAATAATAATTAATAATAATAATAATTCTAATTATAATAATAATAATTCTAATGATAGTAATAATAATAATAATAATAATAAGAAGAAGAAACTTGTATTTATAAAATATACACAAATCACAATTAAACCCCATTGACGTGATATATCAGTGAGAAAATCAGTAGGAGCCGCGAAGAGGATTCGAACCTATCCCCTGGATACTCCTTAAGCACACGCCTTATACCACGACACCAAGACATGGTCAAAAAAGCAAAGCAACCTCAGAATACCCAAAGTATAGGTTCGAATCCTGCTCCTCAGGTACATAATACAGTAGTTTAATTAATATGGTCAAAAACCAAAGACGAGCCCCACGAATCCTCCTCCTCAGGTGTAGTAGGTGCATAGGTATATAAAGTCAACTGACAATATACGACAAGCCTCACATGGTGTGGCAAGACACTGACGAGCCCCACATGGTGTGGCAAGACACTGACGAGCCCCACAAGGTGTGGCAAGACACTGACGAGCCCCACATGGTGTGGCAAGACACTGACGAGCCCCACAAGGTGTGGCAAGACACTGACGAGCCCCACATGGTGTGGCAAGACACTGACGAGCCCCACAAGGTGTGGCAAGACACTGACGAGCCCCACATGGTGTGGCAAGACACTGACGAGCCCCACAAGGTGTGGCAAGACACTGACGAGCCCCACATGGTGTGGCAAGACACTGACGAGCCCCACAAGGTGTGGCAAGACACTGACGAGCCCCACAAGGTGTGGCAAGACACTGACGAGCCCCACAAGGTGTGGCAAGACACTGACGAGCCCCACAAGGTGTGGCAAGGTGTGGCAAGACACTGACGAGCCCCACAAGGTGTGGCAAGACACTGACGAGCCCCACAAGGTGTGGCAAGACACTGACGAGCCCCACAAGGTGTGGCAAGACACTGACGAGCCCCACATGGTGTGGCAAGACACTGACGAGCCCCACATGGTGTGGCAAGACACTGACGAGCCCCACATGGTGTGGCAAGACACTGACGAGCCCCACAAGGTGTGGCAAGACACTGACGAGCCCCACATGGTGTGGCAAGACACTGACGAGCCCCACAAGGTGTGGCAAGACACTGACGAGCCCCACATGGTGTGGCAAGACACTGACGAGCCCCACAAGGTGTGGCAAGACACTGACGAGCCCCACAAGGTGTGGCAAGACACTGACGAGCCCCACATGGTGTGGCAAGACACTGACGAGCCCCACATGGTGTGGCAAGACACTGACGAGCCCCACATGGTGTGGCAAGACACTGACGAGCCCCACATGGTGTGGCAAGACACTGACGAGCCCCACATGGTGTGGCAAGACACTGACGAGCCCCACATGGTGTGGCAAGACACTGACGAGCCCCACATGGTGTGGCAAGACACTGACGAGCCCCACAAGGTGTGGCAAGACACTGACGAGCCCCACAAGGTGTGGCAAGACACTGACGAGCCCCACAAGGTGTGGCAAGACACTGACGAGCCCCACAAGGTGTGGCAAGACACTGACGAGCCTCTTGTCTCCCCCTACACAGGTGACGCATCTCAAGATCAAGTACAACCCCTTCGCTAAGGCGTTCCTGGACCCGAAGGAGCGGCCAGACCTCCACGGACAGAGGGACATGATGGCCGCCTACCCCCACACACCACCACCAGCAGTGTAGGCGTCACCTGTAGGCCTCATTCCCTCTGGGGTTCAGATATTATAGTATTTAGTAGGCATGTTCAATCAGGTGTAAAACTCTTCCAAGTGGAAGTGGCTGTAGTTCATGATATATATATATTTCTCTGCTAATTAGCCAATTCATCTGGTAATTAGCATTTTAAAAGCACTACAATCACCTTCTGTGGTTGATTGTTCAATAAATCCTTGGACTATATGTTTAACAGATCTCTCACCCTGTCCATGGAGGACAGAAGAAAATGTACATATGCTGGTTAGCATTGTAAATGTGTGACCACGTCTGTGGTAGAAAAAAATAAAAACAAAGAAAAAAATCCTCTGCTTATATACTTTTCGTACATTATGTATGCTGCGAAATCTTATTAAAATTTATATAGACATAGGCTCCACCCAGCCTATTCACAGCCCAATCAGCTCAAGGCATCGTCATACTAATCATCTAATCTTTGGGCACACAGATGGATGGTACATGGGAGGCGGGGCAGGGATGTGCAGCGGGGGTGTGGCCTACGGACAGGCTCCGCCCTCAGGGGTGGGGCTCGCTCCGCCCCCCGTCACGCTCTCCTCCCGCATTGCTGTCAACATGAGGAATCACCGGGTGGTCCCCTACACCTCCCCCACCCCCAGGACCTCCAGGACCCCGCCTGGTGAGACACGACCCTTCTCATTGGTTCTCATTTACCGCATGTTTCTCTTCTTATTTGTTTACATTTACCGCGCATTTCTCTTCTCATTTGTTCACATTTATCTCGCATTTCTCTTCTCATCTGTTCACCGCCAAGTGATACTGTTATTTGTGTGTACTTGAAGTTTGAATTCCTCTCTGGTTACATAAGACCTGGACTATCGTGAAATATTGATAGGAGTCACATTCCTGATAGGTGTGGTGGATAGTTACACTGGGGGTGGTGGATAGTTACATTGGGGTGGTTAGTTACACAGACGGATAATAATTACTCAATGGTAAACAGATGCCGGTGAGCTACGCCTGTGTACGCAAATGACGCAGCTGTGGCGAGGTAGACAGGTTGTAAAGCAGGTTTGCAGGGGAGGAAAGCGACTCCAGTGAACCCCATGTACTTATCCTGGAGTCCACGAAGGCTGCTGGTCCCAGCGGTACAGGTGTTGGTGACCCCACCCGTGTACAGGTGTTGCTGACCCCACCCATGTACAGGTGTTGCTGACCCCACCCGTGTACAGGTGTTGGTGACCCCACCCGTGTACAGGTGTTGGTGACCCCACCCGTGTACAGGTGTTGGTGACCCCACCCGTGTACAGGTGTTGGTGACCCCACCCGTGTACAGGTGTTGCTGACCTCACCCGTGTTGGTGTACTTCTCAGCTGTTAGTTAATGTTTTGATTGCTGATTGTGATATCATGAATTAGTATAGCTTGAGTAATGAGGTTACGATCTGTCGGGCTACGTCCTCAGGCCACAACCCATCGGGCTACGACCTGTCACCATTACGACCTGTCAGCATACCACCCCAGGCTACGACCTGTCACCATACCACCCCAAGCTACGACCTCTGGGTGCAGTTTTATGACAACCTTTAATGCTATACTTTGTCAGACCAGCGTGTGTGCCTCTGGCAACACTGACAAGTAAACAAGACAAACAATATGATTGGTCCTCGCCGCCTCGTCCCCCCCCCCCAGAGGTTGGACCTGCAGAGTGTTATACCACATCTGGTCGATGGCCGGATAACCCAATGGTTGATGCTGTGAATTGGCACTAAAGTGTCCTTTGTGTTTGTGGCTTCCATCGACTGTGTGGGCCGGCATTGACGGTACCTTTTACGATAGCCGATCAGACCGATAGTGCTCGTACAATGTTCACTGATCGACGAACATAGCGGCGTAAACCTCTTGTGGTACTCGGGTAAAAGTATAATGTAATCGTCCGCTAGAAGCGAACATCTATGCGTAATTGATGACGGTGTATGATAACCCAGATAACAGCTGGATCCTCCTAGCAGCCTGCCAGTCACAGTAGATGATAGCTAGGTCCTCCTAGCAGCCTGCCAGTCACAGTAGATGATAGCTGGGTCCTCCTAGCAACCTAGTTACAGTAGATAATAGCTGGGTCCTCCTAGCAGCCTGCCAGTCACAGGAGATGATAGCTGGGTCCTCCTAGCAGCCTGCCAGTCACAGGAGATGATAGCTGGGTCCTCCTAGCAGCCTGCCAGTCACAGGAAATGATAGCTGGGTCCTCCTAGCAGCCTGCCAGTCACAGGAGATGATAGCTCACAGCTTGGGCCCTTCTTCCCCAAGGTGACCAATAAATTAATTACGCTCACAAGTTTGCTCAAGAGATTGGTGAGGATTATTGAGGCAGCGGACGAGGGTGCTAAGGGGCCGGGTTGCCCATCTCCCAGTACTTGTTTATGTCGTCCTCACTGTGAGGGCCTCATGGGGCGCCCTCACTGTGAGAGCCTCATGGGGCGTCCTCACTGTGAGGGCCTCATGGGGCGCCCTCACTGTGAGGGGCCTCATGGGGCGCCCTCACTGTGAGGGCCTCATGGGGCGCCCTCACTGTGAGGGTCTCATGGGGCGCGCTCGCTGTGAGGGCCTCATGGGGCGCGCTCGCTGTGAGGGCCTCATGGGGCGCCCTCACTGTGAGGGCCTCATGGGGCGCCCTCACTGTGAGGGGCCTCATGGGGCGCCCTCACTGTGAGGGGCCTCATGGAGCGCCCTCACTGTTAGGACCTCATTATTACGAACCCTTCGCAACCGGGTTTTTTTTTTAACTATGATCCTACTCAAGTTCAGAGGCTCCTAGCCTTGGTAGAAATATAGTGTAATGTTTAAGGTAAATAAAAGGAATTGTACTTAAAATTACCCGTTCTTATTATCCATCACCAATAATATATATTTACAAGCCCCACTAGCTAGCACCTTCAGGTCGACCTAAGTACTCTTCCACTCTCCCGACTTCACTGACTTCCAAAGCCTGTCCCTGGTTGCTCGTCACCGAAGATGGGAAACTAAGGTTAATGAGGGTCAACTGTTATAGTTCGGCACCTGGATCGTAGATGGCGCCGAGGTCCGTCACACTTGTGGGGCGTGCTCACTGTGAGGACCCACCTACATGTCCACTACAGCCCGGATGGTCCGGCACTTCTTGCAGAAAAGTTTTAGTTTTTCCTTGAAAACTTCTACTTTTGTTCCGGCAATATTTCTTATACTTGGTGGGAGGATATTGATCAACCGTGAACCACTGCATGTTCATGCAATGTTCTCTGATTGTGCCTATGGCACCTCTGTTCTTCACTGGCTCTATTCCAGTGAGTGTTATTTAACTGTGTAAATTTGGGACCTGGCCCTCCAGTATTTTTAATTTATATATTACTTGATATCTCTCTCATCTCGTTTCTAGAAAGTGCATTTTGAGAGCTTTGAGACGATCCCAACAATTTAGAAGCTTTATCGTGTCTATTTCTGCCGTATATGTTCTCTGTATTCCCTCTACTTCAGCAACCTCTCCTGCTCTGGGAGGGGAAGTGAGTATCGAGCAGTACTCAAGGCGGGACAGCAGTGATTTGAATAGTATAATCATTATGACGGGATCCCTGGATTTGAAGGTTGTTTTCATATTTTATTTTATTGTTCCTATTATTATTCCATCTTATTATTTTTCTAGCAGACGCAATATTTGCTTGGTTATGCTCCCTAAATGTTAGGTCGTAAGACATTATTATTCCCAGATCATTTACATGTTATTCTATGTTCTATGTTTCAGCGAGCGGCATGTCTCAGCAGCAGCCTTGCGTTAGCAGCTACGGCCTGGCTGGGCTGACAGCGGAGTGGAGGCAGCAGTCGTGGGGGCACCATCATCACCAACCCTCCGTTACCGTCACGCCTTCCACCGCTGTCACCCCCGCACACTACCAGTGGTCGGGTCTTCAGAGCGGCTACGCCCACCCATCTCACCACAGCACAGGCTTCTACCAGGGATACCAGCAGTGTGGAGCCCCGGCAATAGGTCTCGGTAACGCCTCAACGTGCGCAGCACCTTCACACAACGCCTACCACGCCCAGCGCTCCCCACAAGAGGCTCTCACGCCTATGGCTACTTACTCCGATACCTCCACTAGCCAGGGTTTCACGACCAGCCGCTCATCTCCCACATACGAGTCAGTGCACGTTCTGGGCACCAATGCGGGGATTTACAGCGCTGGTCGCCTTCACGAAGACTCCTCCGATCATCACAGCACCGGGGACGGATCTCCACAGTCGGTCGGGTCTCCATCTCTCAGCCACACTACCCAGGCTGACATGTTCATCCTACCCGACCTCGGCTATCATAGTGGCCTCACTGCCCCCCACACTGACATGACGCGCATCAAAGGAGAAAACCTCAGCGACTCTCTCAGCGCCTACAGCAGCGCCTCACCACACGGGTGGAGTCCGCTCTCCCCAGCCTGCATGTAAGATTCCACAGCACACCTGTTTTCTGCTCAGGTTCCCAAAATAGCATTTAATTTGAACTCTCGCATCTAAGACCTAGGTGGATGAGTCACCCATTTAAGACCTAGGTGGGTGAGTCACCCATTTAAGACCTAGGTGTGAGAGATGCCCATGCAAGACTTAGGTTTATGAGCCAAACATTCAAGGCCTGGGTAAATAGACCATTAATTATTTAGGTGGTTGAGCCACCCATTCATTACCCGAGTGAGTATACCAACAATTATTTAAAGTGGGTGAGCCAATCATCCATTACCTAGATACGCAAACTGCCATTTATTTATAAATGGATAAGTCACTCATTCAAGAGCTAGGTAAACAAACAATTAATTGTTGATATGGGTGAGTCGCCCAGTTATGCAGGTAGATGTGCTACTCATCCAAGATCAAGGTGGGTGATTCCCTTTCCCCCACACCAACAATTAAGTTGGTGAACCAACATCCAGGCTGCCACTTGCGGGCCGTTTCTCCATTCTCGAACTTGCCCCTTCAGTGTAGGGGGCACCTGGCCACACTACACTGCCTGTGTACTCTAGCAGGTGTAACCTCCCAGGAATACCAACAATTATTGAGCTATTTATGCTACACTTTGGCCTCTTAGTCGTGTTAATCTTGATAGTTTAAGTTTTGTATTGAGGCATTGTAAACCCAGAGTGGATTCAGGGTGCCATACACTAAGTAAATTAAATGTACAAAGTGTATATAATATATATATATTTTTTTGTATTTATGAGTTATCCAAAATAGGCTGTGTAATTTAAAACAATCAAGTTTTACTCTGTATTGTGTTGTATTTTTCAAAGAATGTTTGTGTGGTTGGGCAATATTGCAATGTATGTTATGTAAATTTCCGGAGAGATGTGTGTTCATTAAACACTGGTGTGTGCGTAGTGTGGATGAGGACCATGCCAGAAACCTTGTGTGTGAACGGCTGAGAGATTGTAAGATAAGCTGAAAGTAAGTCCCACACCTTCCTCCACAAAATATAAATGATAACTGATAACTTTTATCGTTTTATAATCTTACCTTCTCTGACGTAGCATTACTGACTTGTATAAAACAAATCCAGAATAGGCAACATAGCGGAACATGTTACCAAACTCTTGGATGCAACATAACAGGGGCTGAGTAAAGCCGACCACAATAGGCAACATAACCAAAGTAAACTCCGGATAGGCTACATAACGGAGCCCAGCGCCGCTCCTCAAATGTCTGCCGCGGCCAGGCTGCATAACTATATCATCTCTGCCACGCCGGGAATCTGGCTGACAGCGTGGTTTTAGCTGAAATAATAATTCGCTGGTTGCCAGGTATACAGACGCCTGACGAAGACTGGCACACGGCCAGGTGTTTAATGATTCGGAAAAATAAGATAATCGGAATCATAGGCAGACCAAAAACAGTAAGAGAATGTTGTCGCGAGCGGAGACGGCATGAATAATTCAGAGTTTTATGAGAGATTGAGGGTTGTAAACTGCCCGAGACTGGTTCCTCCCTCCCCCGTCCACCACAATATCCCTTCAATCATCCCTCTCTTCTGCTTTCCACCCTACCTTCTTACAGCTTTCTTATTCTCGTTGTATTAAATTATTTCACGCATTTCTTCAGCGAAGCTCTGAAGATTTCGATGTATACTGTTCACAAACGCTCTCCTTTTCTTTTTACATTACTACAGATTTATGGTAAATTGTTAAAGAAGCCATCCATAAAATATGTTCATCGGTCTCACAAAATATGTTCATCGGTCATCTGTCCCACATGATGGAATAAAGCAGAGCTTTATTGGTTATGTAAGAGGGACGTCTTGTATCTTCAATAACACTTATTTTCTTAAGTTTAGCTACCATCAAAATATACGTTAGTTCCTTCTGTGTTACTAATTGTGACTCTTGTGTGTTATCTTTTATTTGATACACATTAACTAATTACTAACCCTCTTTATTATGGCAGTGTTAACTAATTGTATTTTCGTTATATATTTTCAAGTATTTTATATTGAACGCACAAAATAATTAATAGGCTTGGCCCAAAAATGATTTTGACTATTTTGTTGAGTTAGCCCTAAGTTTTATTTATGAATAATATAATAATAAGATCAGAAATATGTAATAACTTTATAGAATTTAACGTCGATTAGCAAGAAACTCGTTTATGAGACCTCAGTTTAATAAAGTGTCCCTGCCAGCCGTCCGGGTTGTCAGCCGTGGTGCAGGGCTGTTCCTGGTCAGTGTTTATTTACCGGCGGTTGTGAGTGGGGCCTGTGTGTAATTACCTAAGTGTAGTTACAGGACGAGAGCTACGCTCGTTGTGTCCCGTCTTCCCAGCACTCTTTGTCATATAACGCTTTGAAACTACTGACGATCTTAGCCTCCACCACCTTCTCACCTAACTTGTGTGTGTGTGTGTGTGTGTGTGTGTCTGTGTGCCGCCCTCCCAGTCCTTCCACTGTGAGTGTTACCTCACGAGTCTTTAAGTGAATAATGAATACAGTGCATTATTAAATTGTCTTCCGGAAGGGGGGAGGGGAGGGAGAAATAGGGGTTGAGAAAAGTCATGGCGCACATCAGCTGCAGGGACGGCATTGCTCGAGTATTCATGGTATACATTCCTCTCGTTATTTATAATCCCACGTCTTGAGTAAATAAGTTGGATAAAGATTATAAAATAATGATTCTAATCTATAATTTTCATGGAACCACAGCAATGTTTGTTATTGTTCTCTGCTGCTGCTGTTTGTGTTAGGCTTTGGAAATTCAATTGCATACAAGCAGCATTAGTGTGGAGGGGGTCGCCAGGTGGTGTAACAATGGGGTGATATAATACTAAACGTAATAGTTCACCTTGGACTGTAGTCGTCGGGGAAGGCAGGTGAAGCAAGTCTAGGCTTCTCAGGAAAGGTAGGGTAGAGCATGGCAAGGCCTCATCAGTAAGCGGGATAGCACATATCTTTAGTGCAAGTAGTGCCGGGTGGGCTTCGTCCGCGCTGGGTCACGTGCAGTTCATCTCTGGTCTTCTTGGCCCTCTCCAGACCTGCGCGGGAAGGCTGTGCGCGGTCGCCGTCCACCAATCAGGGCACAGTCCTGCCTACACTATGAAATGTCTCCCTTGGCGGGCACTTTGAATGTGGTTTACTCCACACTAGTGTCAAGTTAAGCTAGGATAATTTAGAATATTTCACCCAAAATCATTGCAAGTCAGGTCGTGAGGACGTTGAGTCCCAAAATCATTGCAAGCAATGTACTTCAAGTCAAAATGAAAGTCAATAAATTACTCGTAATTTCACATTTGGTAGTACCTCGAGGCCATTAGATGCTGATCGGATTTTCATTTGAGAAGGACAAATTGAGATAAATTCTAGTTTAGCTCCAGTCGTGAAAAAACCTCAGGTGTGGTGAGCTCGTGTATGGTGGATCAACGCATGTGTATGATTGTATGCATGTACTGTATTACCTGTATGTGCTTACCTATCAGTGTATACGGGGAAGTGAGATCAGCTATTTTATGTAGTGGTGTCCGTGGGGGCGGATGTCGACGTCCCCACCACAACACTCCAAAACCTCCAAGCCAATAAAAGTGCAATTTTGTGCATGTGTTTCTGCTTCCTGACGGTCATGTGTGTGTAGGCTGATTAACCCTTTCCTCACGGGTTAATGGTGTGTGTGTGTTGGGGGGGGGGGAGGTCATCTTTCCTCTGTGGATGTGACAGGGTCAACCACTGATAGTAGATTTTGCTCTTATTGCAAGAGGTGAGGTCATGTTAGAACTTCCTGCTTTCAGAAACACCCAGAGTTAAGACCTACGGGTCTCATATTGAATAGATGTGTGCAGAGTAGATATAGTAAACATGTTAATGTAGATCCCCAATGGATAGCCACATATACTCCATACATATATGCCGGAGAATTATTGTGTAATAATGGTAAATGGAAGCCAGCTATTCTCTTACGAAACACTGGCGCTTCCCAAACATTGATTTCAGCTTGTATACTCTCAAATGTTGTAAAGAGTGATATTGGGAACTATGTAGTCCTTCAGAGTGTTGCAGGGTTATCAAACTGTACCTCTGACAGATGTTAATTTGAGGTCCACCATTACCCCAGGCTTGTGCACTGTTGGCGTTAGTAAACAATTGCCCATCCCAAGTGTGGATGTTATTTTGGGTAATGATGTGGCTATATACCATGTTGGGAAGGTTGATCACATTTTGTTACCAGAATCAGTTAATTTCAGTAAACGTGTCCCCCCACACGACACAATCACTCCCCCAACACGACACCATCGCTCCCTCCTCCCCCCCCCTCGACACCGTCACTCCGATAGCTTCATGGGAGATGAACCTAACCTGACCCCTCCAAGTGCTATATAGTTATAATGGCTTGAAGTTTTCACCTGATAATTCCCTCCCTCTCTCTCTCTCTCTCTTTCTTTCTTTCTTTTTTACCATATCTCTATTACGGGAATTAATAAATGTAACTACCGTATTTACCGTCATATAATTCACAATTGGTCTCCACAGCTGATAAGTCAGTCACGCGTCATGACACTGTTTGTCAACCTATTGTATTTGTGCTGCTTTTTCAGTCATGTTCCCCCTTTTTTTTATCTTTATTTGTATTTGTTCTCAACATCTTTTATTCTTTATGCTCAATTAGTATTAAGTTCTAGATATTAATGTTTTCTTGCCCGAAACGCTTTGCGTAATAGTGGCTTTAGGCATTGTATGTACTAGCTCTATCTATATATCAATCCATTAATGTAACATCACTTGTATGTATATACCTTACCTGAATAAACATCTGAATCTGAATCTGAATCTGACTTGTTTCTTAAAGCATTGGGAAAAGTTCGCTTTTGAGTACAATTGGCCCTTGATATGCAAGCATCCCAGGGTAGTGTACCCCAGGGTAGTGTACCCGAGAATAGTGTACCCCAGGGTAGTGTACCCTAGAGTAGTGTACCCCTAGAGAAGTATACCCCAGGGTAGCGTACCCCAGTATAGCGTACCTCAGGGTTGCATACTCATGGGGTAGCGTACCCCAATGTAGCATACCCCAGAGTAGTGTACCCCAAGGTAGTGTGATCACAATACTTGTGAGAAACATACATTGAGTGGGCACATCCTCAACCTGTAAACATGGCATCAATACTGTGTTCAGTACCTGTAAACATGGCATCAATACTGTGTACAGTACCTGTAAACATGGCATCAATACTGTGTACAGTACCTGTAAACATGACATCAGTACTGTGTACAGTATCTGTAAACATGGCATCACTACTGTTTACAATACCTATAAACATGGCATCAATACTGTTTACAGTATCTGTAAACATGGCATCACTACTGTTTACAATACCTATAAACATGGCATCAATACTGTTTACAGTATCTGTAAACATGGCATCACTACTGTTTACAATACCTATAAACATGGCATCAATACTGTTTACAGTATCTGTAAACATGGCATCACTACTGTTTACAATACCTGTAAACATGGCATCAATACTGTGTACAGTACCTGTAAACATGGCATCAGTACTGTGTACAATACATATAAACAAGACATCAATACTATGTACAGTACCTGTATTTACCTGAGGGCCACTGGCACTACTGGCCTCGATGAGGACAGGAAGCCAGCAGCTTGTTGAAGGTCTCTCCATCTTCCTTGATAATCTTTTCCAGTTGGATTTTGAAATTCAACAGTCATGGCATTTATGGCTTCGGAGGGTAGGCAGTGGGTGAAAAAGCATCTCTTGTTCTCAGTCCTACATTGTGGCTTGTTGAGCTCGAAACCATTGCTCCTTTTTTGTTACATCTAATCTTTCGAAGAAATTGTCCGGTAAAAATTTCAATGAGATCCGCCCTGTCATGCCTGGTTTGCAATGTTGTTAGCCCTGTGGTGCTAAATAAACCTAACAAAATGCCATCAATACTATGTACAGTACTGTACCTGTAAACAAGGCATCAATACCGAGTACTGTACCTGTAAACAAGGCATCAATACAGTACTATGTACAGTACCTATAAACATGGCATCAATTCTGTGTACAGTGGATTTCTGGTTCTGCATTGGAATTTAAACTTTATTTATTGATAACACTAGCAAGGAAGCAATAATGGGCCATATAATGATTGTTGTGTTAATTTTTTTCAGTTTTGAAAAGTCATTAACACAAAGGTTTGATCAGGAAAAAATACTACAGTTGTCAATGCTGTGAGCAGACTATGACCCATCCATAATAATAATTAATAATTCATCGTGTCAGGGGACAGGACGCTAGAGTGTATTCATACAAGTTTTGGCTTTTATCGAGGTCCCCCTTCTCCCCAAGGCCGAATTACTGACCCCCACCCAGGATGCAACCCCCACAACAAGCTAACTCCTGAGTACCTACTACTTACTGCTATGTGAACAGAACATTAGGTGAAAGGAAATGTACCAAACCATTTCTGTATTGCCTGGGCAATAAGTATAGCAATAGCATGTGAATGGTAGTGGAAAGGTATCATTATGTAGATACTGTGGTGTATTCCATGTGTATTTTTTTCAAATGTGAAGTGTATTAACCTTTTCCAAAACATATACTGTACAGCAATTTACTTTGAACACATTGGGACCCCCCCCCCTCTTCCCCCTTTTGGACAATTGGATTATATTTTCTGGTACATGGTGCCATTATCAGTTGTGCAGAGGTTTTTTGTACAAATACAAATTATTTTTAAGACAACTGGTAGAACAAAATTTGCAAATTTGATAAAGAAGCTATTATTATTTTCCATATTTAGTTCATTGTTGTTTAGTAAATTGTTGTCTGTGAGAGTAAGCAGTTATCAAAAGAAAGCATTAAGCCAGAATAGCTATACAACACATTGTTACAGAATACTCTCAAATTCTTAGACATCATTCATAACGCCAATATGAGATTAGAAAACATGCGATGAGCGGCATCGAAGGGGGACAGATTCACTATGGAGTTTAGCAATAGACACCTGGCTCAAAAGTAATACTGTAGTGGGAAAGTAAAATTTCCACTGGTCCCAATAAACAGGAAATTCAACTAGGAAATGGATGACTGCAAGTGAAACAATGTTACTAAAACAGTTAGGGGGAAAGTTTTCATTTAATTCAGTGTCCATGATTTAACTTTGTGCGGGAGAAACATAACTAAGCCAATAACGTTTCACCCTTCCTATTACAGTTGCAGGAAGAAGATTATGGGGGATAGGTCAGATTTGAGGCCATGTAATTTATTGGTAGGAGTCAGCCTCTATCATTTATACACTTGCTTATAACATTATAAATGAGAGGGTACAAATTTTCAAATAAATAAATATATATATAATAATTCAATTATGAGGCTCAATTTTATGATGAATGTAGTGCAAGTAGTTAACAGTTTCAAAAGTTACTGAAGACTGTATTATACAATTACGTAATATTCCTGTTTGAGAGATTAAAGACACGAGTAATATTTTTCAGGAAATTCATTAATTTTACACATTAATTGATGACTAAATGCAGCAACTTTATTTTATTACAGAGAACAATATTTTGTGTAAATAGTGTCATAAACTGACTAGGCTTGTTTGTTTTAATATATTGTGTTAAGTCATATAAAGATTCTCTACATGACTTTTAAATCACATGGTTTGCATATTATGGAATAAATTTAACCACTTATCTCTCAGACAATAATAAGAAAAGACAAAGATTCTAAGTCAGAAAAAGTACAGTCAAGATATTGAAAGAACCACAGCAATTATTAACATCACAATTTGTTAGTCCCGTGTTGATCTTAAAGCTATACATGGATATGTAATAATAAACAGAACAAAATATCACACAAATTTAATATCTACATGAAGAGTGTGGTTTTTTAACAGGATAAGGAAATATTTTAAACCAGTCAGAATTAGTTTAGCTAATACTGAAGCATTAGTTAAGCTAATACTGAAGCATTAGTTAAACTAATACTGAAGCAATTCAGGCAGTTGCCTGAAAACAGATTCCATCACCCTGATATACAGCATAACTATCTGATAAAGAAAATTAAAATTAGATGTGACCCTTCCCATACTGTATTACTACTCACCAAGACTACGCTCAGTGCACTGAAAATTTATTGATCATTTTTGTTAATATTAAAGGCACATAAAAGTCACAGGTGAAAAATAACATTATTTCTGATTTCTTAGAACATGAATACATTTCATGCTTGTGGTACTAAAATGGATCTCAACATTAGATAAATTGATGCAAGAATATTTCCAACTTTGACTCTTTGCTACAGAGACTAATAATAATTTAAATTTCCATAAAAAAAAAATTTGCATCATCAAATTGTTTGATACAGTACATAAATTAATACATAAGCATAGTTAATATTTCAGAAAAAATGTATTTTTCAGTGTATACAAAAACAAATATAGGTGAAACATTTTTGCAAAATATACCGAAATGTCAAGACATTAAAACCTTTACTTGAAAAATTGGTGAGAAGTACTGCTAGTAACTGCCAGACACGAGTGAATATATTTACAGTATATATAAATGCAGGACAAATATTAGATATAAATCCAGCTCAAGTTTTTTTTTTAATACTACAGTTTGAAATTTAATTACTATTTTGTTTTGTTGACATGTAGACACGTCATCTCATCATAATTATGAAGGAACACCGAGAGAATATATATATTTAAGGAATTTTTGGCTAGTTGGCGACTAGGGTTATTATTATTCTTTGGCATTATGGGCAGATGGGTATTGGAATAAATCTCACCATCATTATACTAACTTCCTTGTAACTGAATAACAACAAAACTAAATTAAATTACATGAAATTATTCAATAACTGACCCCAAGTATACACTTAATTAAAATAATGACTAAACTATTTAATTCAATATAGGTAATTAAATTACTGAAACTAAATATAGTAATGTATAGAAAAATGACTAATATAATACAGTATAGAACAGTACAAAAATGCTTGTTATAAAGAAGACATTATATCAACAAGATAACATAATTAATAATCTTATGATTCTTTGGTAATGAATGTGTGTACACGAACCCTCCGAGAGGCCATGTCTTGCACTGCGTTATATAATAATAATACTTAAGTCAAAACTTATGCTTCTCAACTGGTTACCAGTACAAAATATTGATGGGAAAACTTCAGTGGAAGATAAAGAAAAGTTATCATAGGACAAAATTCAAGCAATAAAAAAAAAAAAAAAAAGGAGTCAAGATACATGTATTACTCCCAAGAGTGATGCACTGAGCTGCAGGTCAAACCTATAGGATGAGACAACAGTATTTATGCAGATGTTTTGTACTAGTAGTACAAAACTGAACATGACAAGTGGTACCTTCCTTGCAATGGCTATACATGGCAAGGTAAAATTATCTTGCACATACACACTTTCCTCTTGGGTTAAATTTGAAATTCTGATTATCATGATAATAGCATTACAATGCACTTATAACACAAATATAGTGTATAATGCATTCAATGTAAATTGATTTGAAAATAAATTAATACATGAATATGGAAAAAACGTATGATTCGAAGGACATCAAATCCATTATAAATTCTGTTTTCATATATTATTGCATCAAGAAATTAATGTTAAGTATACAAGCATAAATGTACACAACTTAAAAATCTACTGGTTAAAATTCAGCATTTATCAACTATATAAACACTGTCATTAATACTGATTAATGATCCATGCCATAAATACACTAATAGCATGTTAAATAAGACTTCTCATGTTTCTATACAACTTTGAGTTGAAATATTAAGGACTAGCTTTGCATTTTGTAGTACAAAACCTCTAGCGTGTGAACATCAATTTAGTCAAAGCAAAAATGTTATTACCTAAGTGTGTTCTGTGTAATTACATGTTCTGCTGAGGGTTGTTTTGTTCTTGTTTAATTCAGACCAACTAAATTATACACATTTCTTTATATTTGAGCTCTACATACTATCAAGACATTAGCCATGAAAAATGCTAAAAAAAAAAAGATTATCATGTTATTATTTCCTGTAATTCATCCCTACTATACTGAATAATTCCCTCATAAGAATAACACTACTTAGAACCTATAATGAGTAAGACTTTACATGAACACATGAGGTCAAATATTTAAAGAGAGAAATTGAAAATCTACATAGTTAATATTGGCAACTTTACATAGAAAATAAAAATTAAGAAAATATAAACTATTAATTACTGGATTGTAATGGTATTCACTGCAGTTTTATTCATACCCCACTGTAAAAAATTATGTTTTTATCATCAAACTCCATATATTTATATAAAATGTAATAGGTGCATTTAACTACAAACCTAATCTAGGTAACAGAAGTAACTTTGAACCTTCTACTAAACTAATCTACCCCTAAAATTTATATTACTGTGTGATAGGCACTGATTTCTAGTTACACACGGAACAAACTCAGAAAGCCAATAACAAAACACATGCACATTTATGTGGCTTGCACACATCACATACCTACAGTACTTACAATAACAATATGCAAATTATCTACACAATGTACAGTAATTTACACAAATATTAAAAACATTTACAACACTTATTGTAAAAATTATTACTAAATATTCTACAATGTAATACTAATTTAATAGCACCAGTGCACTACCAGTGTCTATCATTTTTTTTTTTTTTTTTTTTTTTTTACAATATTTCACATACAATCTATAACAATAAAAATAACTATCTGCCATGATAGACAAGCTTAAAATCACTGATATCATTGTTGCTGTACAGAGGTGGTAAATAAAAAAATATAACTTACTGATGACACTTTAACTGCTAATGCATTGGAGTTTAAGACATTAAAGGAAATTTTATTTTATTTTACATGCCAAGAATTAACAAAACACTTGTTTTTTTTTTCTAAACTATATTATGAATGCTTGTGCTTTATTTTATAACTTTCCTACACGTATATCCCCCTGTGTATTTCTCGCAAATTATCACACTTATAAATTTTGTTAATGCTGTAGTCTAATGACTTTCTTTAATGATCTGACTGCACTGCAAAATGTTCATTTTCAAATTCAAAATATGCTTACAAAAACTAAACGTTTCCCAACCATCCATCCAACGAGTAATTGGAATCCAATAAAATATGCAATTCAGTAAAGCAGAGTAGTTTATCCGAGACACACAAAAATGTATAAAAAAAAAAAAAATACAAATTACCAAGTAAAAGTTTGAACTTTATTATACCAAAATTTTTTATAGCATCATATTCATGATAAATTTCGTATTTACCACTACACACTACACCTGTAATACTACAGTACTATAAGATTTATTGCATTTTGATCATAGTTATAATTTAAAGTAGTGAACGATCAATATATGTATAATATTCATTACTGTACTTACAAAATTGAAAAAAAAAATTATTTTCAAGTAAACTCGTATAAATTTAAATGGCATCACAATTATCTGATCATGAATATTTTAATGTACATTTTTTCAATATAAAATACTTGGTCATACTATATAAAACCATAGTTACAGGAATCTAATTGCTTATTCATTGCCTCCTATGAGCAGCAGCAGCAGCAGCAGCAGCAGCAGCAGCAGCGGCGGCAGCAGCAGCGGCGGCAGCAAGCTTGGCATGCTCTTGGGCCACTTCCATTTTTTTCTGCTCACTGCCAGCAGCCATATATGAGAACACACACAACACTGCATAGCAAATCTGATCTGCCTGTGGAAAGAATTGTACATTATGTAAATATAGTCTGGACAAAGTTAGTTATGTGCACACAGGGGTGCTATTAATTTTTTTGTTTATCTAATGAGCCTTATGATGATCTGACAATCTCTTATACATGCATTCCTGGGTATCAAAGTCTTAACTGTATCAGCACAGTTAATACTAATACAGTATAATATATATACTGTATGTATGTATGTGTATATATATATATAAATTCAGAAAACTAAATGTATTAGCAAATTTAAATAAAATTGTAATGTACATAGGGTTATAATTTTCCCTTCTATCATTATGTATCTCTGTTCGATTTTATCAAGCCCTTTCAGGTGAAATTCCTTCTATAAAGTCTAGTGTACAATACTTTTGTTACCCATTTTATTATATAATATGAAGAGCTTTCTTATTCTCATTAATACTGTATTTGTTCATGTAACATTTATTCAAATATAATTTACTTTATCAATGAATACATGAAAACAGAGAACATTTATTAATTGTTCAATCTTAATCAATTCTCATTTACTCCTCATTTTATAGCTGTAGAAAATTGAATATAATAATTCTATGCCCGAAACGCTTTGCGTAATAGTGGCTTTAGGCATTGTTTGTACTAGCTATACCTATAAGTTAAACAATCCTTGTAAATATTTATTGTATGTATGTACCTTACCTAAATAAAATTGTATTGTATTGTAATTATCTACAAAATATTGAAATTACTTATTTTTTACACCAAATCATCAGTTTAGCTTACCATTGCAGATTTATACTTGCGTTGTATGACATGCCGGGTTTTAGGATCTGAAATGAAAAAACTTTTTAGCATAATGTTATAATAAAAATATTACCTTCCTTTTTTCTCTCTCTGCATTTTGCTCTTAATTTTTTTTATGAGTGCAATTTTATTACCATTTCGAGAAAACTTTCCTAAGTTTTACTAGGGTTCTTGCCGACATTTATGGGGCACTCTCCTGTCTCTATGCGAGCACTTTCCTCTCTTTTATTACGGTGCTCTCTATGTTCATAATGGCACTTTCCTCACTTTTTATTATGGTGCCCTTCTATGTTCATAATGGCACTTTCCTCTGATGTACTAGGGATGGTCTCCTACCTTTATGAGAACACCCTACTAAAGTATTTATAAGGATGCTCACCTTTTACTTGGGTGGTCTCCTATTTATTAGAGTGGTGTCCCTTGTTTAATAGGGCATTCACCCATACACATGAGGGGAATGACCTATTAAAGACTGGAATGCCTTATTTTCAAGTGTTTATGAGGTGCTTTCCAATGTTTATAAGGGTGATCTCCTATGTTAATGAGTATTCTCCTATGTTAATACTGTAAGTGTTTTCCCTCATATTTATGAGTTATCTCTATGTTAATGAGTGCTCTCTCCCCAATGTTTATGAGTGCATTCTCCAGTGTTTCTTAATGTCTTTCCACATGATCCTTTACTCTAATAATATCTGAGGCCACTTGCAAATTTGTATTTCAATCATAAATGAATTTTTGTAATATACTGAATCTATCTTGCTATTAAGTGTTATATATATGAAATACCATACTTTATTTTATAAAACGAATCATTAACTCTTAAACTGTGCATGGCATATATATACGACCAGAGTAACATGTCCCACCGTGCGCATGGCATACGACGTAGGGTGCCAGCCACAATTCAAATGGCCTGCAGCTACACAGGATTCACATCAGCTTCCTCAGGGCTCTTGTAAACTGACGCCATGTTTATAAAAAATCTTGGGCAACATTCTCCGGTGTGAGAGCCACAGTACTGTGTGAGCAGCCAAGGCTGGTGCATGCAGCATAAGCTAACAGTATTGCTGTTCAACTTGTGACCACAGGATCGCCTAAAAATTTCAAAATAAATGTGTAACTGCTATTATTTGGCGATGACAGTATTACAGAAGACCCCTGACTGATAAAAATGACCAGAAATGTGATAATAGCAGGATTGTTGTGATAATTAGCACTATGTGGGTGGAGTAATGCTGAATCTGTGTGGTCACCTGTTGTATGCACTCACCATACCAGCTTAATATTGACCGGTAACGACGCAGTATTGCGTGCTAAATTTAGTAAACAAACGTTAGGTAACGATGCAGTATTGCGTGCTAAATTGACGGCGGCTGCGGGAGGGGCGAGCCACGGTTTTGGGCATTATATGCATATACTCCCGTAGGGAATCTCATTGTGAATACATTGATACCAAAATGAAAGACCTAGGACCAGAACTGAGGTAACAAAGTTGAAGAGTATACCCATTTTATTACTCTTTATTAGCGCTCACTGGGGTAATGCTCCGTCACTTTCTCTGTTTGCTGTGGGTGGGACGCCGGGCTTTTGGACTTTATATTTGCATATACTCCTATAGGGAATTCTATTGTGAACACAATGATACCAAAATGAAATACCTAGGACAAGAATTGAGATGTCCAAAGTGAAGAGAGTATACACATTTTATTGCACATGCGCGCTCCCGGGTAACACGCTCTCACTTTCTCACAGGGCTTTTGGGCTTTATATGCATTTAGTCCTGTAGAGAATTCTATTGCGAACACAATGATACCAAATTGAAAATCCTAGGACGAGAATTGAGGTGACAAAGTTGAAAAGAGTACAGTATACACTTTTCAGAATTACTGCGCGCTCCTGGGGAGCGTGGAAATGCCCAGACCCACCTTGGGTAGTGAGAGGCTCGCTCGCACAGAGCGTGAAATTGTTAAGGGTTAAAACTGAAAATTTTCAAGGCAACAGGCAAATTTTTGTAGATTATATTATGGCCATAATATTAGCTATAAATATTAGTGCCAGCATTGAGAAAATAATTCCCTTATAAGAAATGTCTTTGTTTTCTAGGATTATTGGATTTTTTTACAGGATTCTAGGATTTCTAGGATGTTTTCTAGGATCACTGACACTGAAAGTATCAAACTAACTGGCAAAACTTGTTCTTATTAGAAATAGTTAAAACCCACATAAACACATACCAGAGGACTCATTTCTATGTACTAGGTGTCTGTAGTGCAGAGATATTCATGCTAATCCAGACTTGAGTTGAAAATAAATGTAAGGAAAGTTAATACGGTATTCATATTAAAAATCAAACTTTTCTATGTTAATTGGCTATCAAAAGACTTATATCCATGTTCTATAAATATTACTAACAAACACATTCATTTGAACACAAATATTGTTAAAAAAAATTAAAAAGTCCTGTGCCAATAAATTTTTTGAGTTTTCCATTACTTAAATGAGGCAAAACATTTTCTTTATCTCATGGTAAAGTATCTTCTGTAAATACTAAATTGACTAATCTCAGTTTTGCACTGCATTGGTAGACATTATTATAGTGCACGCCTTTCATTTACAAAATAATATTTTGGTCTGTAATTTTTAATAATAAAACCTGTTGCACCTGAAAAGGTAGAGTGTCATTCTGAAAATTTAAGTAAATATTATGACAATTATATTTTGTTGTACTCACCAATATGAGAAGTTCAAATCCTTTTATGAATTTAAGGACTACTGTTGATGGTGAACAGTAATTTAGATGGTATGTGTGGTGGATGTTGATAGTGTTGAGCTGTAATTTATACAAATACCTTCTGCACAAGCATCATCAGCTGACTGCCTTTTGCCTTGTATTATATAACACACCTAATGCCATGGTGGTTCTCAAAGCTCCTGAGCCATCCATCAGCATACAGACACTGCTGTTTAATAATGTTTAATAACATGAAATTCCCAGGATTCCTCTCTCTCTCACAAGTCTGCCTGTATCACCCCCAGACTGTATTATTTTCACACTGTCCCTTAGCTTTACTCAGTGCCTTTCTATTATGTACTGCTTGTATCACTTTCAAGAAAAATATTTAAAAATAGTAACTACACCCTTAATAATGTCTGACTCCGTTGTTTTGCTCACTTTGTATTCAGCGCATGCAACACTTCTTGGGATGCCACTCAAGACCTTCTTTATAAGTTCTACCTTCTTTTCATAAGTCATCCTACAGCCCCTTTTCTTGGGTTACTTGTTATTTAAAGCCATCATCAACTTCTTACCTGCATTTGTAGTCAAACTGGTGCACAGATGTTCCAAAATGTTTGCTTATATAGCCAAGGATATTATGGGAATGAATGCTTAACACTTTCGCTCAGTAATGACGCAGCATTGTGTCGTTTTTTTAGTAGACGCACTTCCGGTAACCACGCAGCATTGCGTCGGCGGCAAATTGGTGGCGGCTTCGGGAGGGGCACGCCGCGGTTTTGAATATTATATGCATATGCTCCTGTAGGGAATTTCATTGCGAATACATTGATACCAAAATGAAAGACCTAGCACCAGAATTGAGGTAACAAAGTTGAAAACAGTATACCCATTTTATTAGCGCTCACTGGGACTACGCTCCATCACTTTCTCTGTTTGCTGTGGGTGGCCCGGCTTTTGGACTTTATATTTGCATATACTCCTGTAGGGAATTCTATTGCCAACACAATGTTACCAAAATGAAAGACTTAGGATGAGAATTGAGATGTCCAAAGTGAAGAGAGTGTACACATTTTATTGTTCTTGTGCGGTTCTGGGTAATACGCTCTACACCTTGCTATAGGTGACCTCAATAGCCTGTTAGTGCATTGGCTTTGGCACTACAAAAATGGCCCCCTCCAAAAAAAAAAAAAATCAGATCTCTGGACTGGCACAGGCCTACTGAACACCAAACTCAGACTATAGTGTGCTCACAGAGTCAAAGGCAGCATGACTTGGCATGACATGGAGACATGAGATTGATGCAAGCCAGAGCAAAATGTCCCAGAAAATATAGGCGAGCAAAACAAACTATGTAATTTGATTACAGAGAAAAAATGGAAAGTGAAGTGATAAGTTTCTCATTGTTAATGATACCATGCACAGGTAACCAAGCACACCATGAGGTGGCAGCTCAGGTCACCCAAGGCTTAGCCTGCCTCCTCACTCAAGTCCCTGTTCCAGATGTAGCTGATCTCAAAGAAACGAAGAGCAAAGAAGAGCAGACACTGGAAGTTATTGAGGCAGTCCAGAAAAGGGCACACAGCCCAAAACAGCAATTCACACAACCCAGAAACAGCAGGGCATATGGCCCAGAAGTAGCTGGGCATGCAGCCCAGAAACAGCAAGCCACACAGCTCAGCAGCAGCTGGGCATACAGCCCAGAAACAGCAAGCCACACAGCTCAGCAGCAGCTGGGCATACAGCCCAGAAACAGCAAGCCACACAGCTCAGCAGCAGCTGGGCATACAGCCCAGAAACAGCAAGCCACACAGCTCAAAAGCAGCTGGGCATACAGCCCAGAAACAGCAAGCCATACAGCTCAGAAACAGCAGGGCATACAGCCCAGAAACAGCCAGGTACAGCATGAAATCAAACACACAGCCTGAGAAGAGCCTGTATTCTCTGAGTAGTTTTACTTGGCTTGGATGAATCTCAGATTCCTATGTTTCCCTTGCATCTATGAGCACACCAGATTCTGGTCTATTCGTTCAGTAAGCCTGCACAAGTCCAGAGGTCTGGTAGCTTTGTGGATGTATCTATGGTAGCATAGCCAATGCTCAAGTACTCAGAGAAGAATGAACTGTATTCACAATGTGCATAGAAGATAATGCATTACAAAAATAATATTTTATCAATACAAAAATACAGAGGATCACATTATGGTGGCTATTAAGTAGACATAGTATAATTTATAAAACTACTAATTACATGCAGCATATATATATAAATACGTAAATAATTGGTTGGCCCATAATGAGCACAAAGTGCTGAAAAAATGTAAAGTAGCCCCAATATTAGAACAGACTATTTATTAATTATAGTTTTGGCTATAAGGCATTTTCATATCTAAGAGCTACACAGGACTATTGCTTTTCCTATCAGTGAAGTGAAAATGGGTTTAGGAATGATGTGTTATAAATTAAATTTATTAATGTATCAAAGAAAATTCATCATTTCTATCCCTCTAGCTAAATTAATACTTTATATATATGAATTGTAACATATAATCCTTCATATCTCTGTTCGCCTCACTAACCTCACCCTTGTCACATCCCCCCTCCCAAGAGCATTAGTCCTGTCTATTAGATTTAATAAAGACCTTACAGGTGAAACCTCATCCACAAGCAATATACAGTACTTGCATCTTGGTGTTTCTCTACATAAAAAATATTAGTCTTGTATCCTGCTTTGTTTCCATTTATTCACAGAATTTCTAGTTATAGTGTAAGAAAAATAACACAGTGTAGATACATACAAAAAGGGTCAAAACTATTTACTAAAACAAACAAATAATTGTCAATCAATATTCATATATTACTTACTGTACTCCTCCAACACAAATACTCCTCCCTTCTGAGTGAAGCACTTTCTGATATGGTCCAATCGAACGAAGAACTGAAAGAAAATGATATTGAAAGCTCTTAAACTTCTACCAAAGGTCTGGGCTATGAGCAATAACCCGGATACGGATAACAAGTACAGGCTATTAGCAATCCATAACCATCTCCTTCACAAGGCTTCCTTAGTCAATTTCTACATTACAGTATCTTTACTTTAATTATGTACAAGCTTAGCCAATAATCTGCAGAAGCAGCACAGAAAAAAAATAATCATAAATTATTTGAAAACAGAATGATCGATTGCAACTTTACACTAGATGGTGGTAGGGTAAATGACATGAGAATCTTTCAGCAAATAATATGATTTTAATGTCCAGTATCTTAAACTTTAATAATGTTGCTTCGGTGCTCTTTCTGCCAGATTCATGGTGATAAGATTATTTCATAAAGCTCTGGTCATGATTGTATTAGACAGACGAAAGTACACACTCCATTAAGGAAAATACCTTTACTGCTTTAGGATATGAACTCAAGACCAAACCTTAGGCGGTGATACAAAGATTGCCGATGAGTTACACCGGAACAACCATTCTGTGTAAAAGCTGCTATAAAACCTACATTTTTTCTATGAACAATAATTTACAGATATGAGGCATCAAACTAATCAGCAATCTTTTGGGAAACAAAAGGAAGGTGTCTACTACTTATACAATATAGCAGATAGTGTGTGAAATGTGTCAGGATCAGCATGATTAGTATATGATTGGGAATTGAATAAATATTTATCTTAAGTCACTCAGAAATACTCAGACTACCTGACATAAACCAGCTGAGCCTGACACACACAAAGGCATGGAGAGGGATGTACAATTTCAACAAGGAGTGTACTGTATTACAAAGCAATCTACATCAACATTATACGTGCACTAAAGTATTCTTTACTAATTAAAACTCACACTATAGCCGTCACTTGTTCTTGATGGCAGTATGAGGTTGAAATTTAGATTTGTTTTATAAATTTTGTTACTTTCTTCTCTGTCAATCCTCTCTCCATCCCCTGTATCAACCATCTGTGCAGATGCCTGTTATTGATCAACACACAGGCAGTGAGCATGCACGAGAAATAAAGAGTGCAGAACAAGAAGAAAGAAAAAGGGATTTAGGGTTTGCAGAGGAGTAAAGGAATTGAATCCCATGTGTAGTATTTCCTAGCACTAATTATTTTAAATTTGTGACACCATGGGTCAACAATAGTTATTTCAGCAATGAAGATTATGCACATTATATCTTTTATCTTCTCATATATAAGCTTTATTGTCTGTATTACTGAATATTCATGACAATGTGTGTATAAGTTTAAATATATATGTTTATCTACTCCATTGTTTACAAAAAAACTTAATGAAGAAAATATGTAATGAGCCGTGTATTTATCTTTTAAACTTTCAGTCTTTCAAGGCTCAAAATAAGTATAAATAAAGAAATAAAAAAAACTTGAATTTAAAAGATGAAACAAGAAACAGTTTCAGAAAGAGCAAGTAAAACATGATGCCCATGACCTCAGTGATAAAAGGTGTGACAAATCACAATCAAATATTAACTTTAATTTTAAAGTCAGGAAAAGTCTAAATAAATTTTTTTAATAAAAAAATGTTGTGTAAATCAGTCAGATCAAGGCATACTGTGTATATGTTAGCATACCAAAGCAAACAGACTAAGATACACACACCACTACAAACTATAATCTATACTTCAAATCAACCAACAAAATCAAACAAGGAATACTTCAGAGATGGTCAAATAAAAATAGGGACTCTGTGTGTGTGCGGACTGGGAAGATCTGATTGGTTGGAATATCATATTCCTAGTGCTGATTGGCTAAGAAATTACAAACTTCCAGTGCTGATTGGCTCTAATGTTACAGGATTCCTAGTGCTGCCTGGCTAAACTCAGAGACTCCTTGTGCTGATTGGCTAGGACATGCTTCTGGTGTTTGGCATCCGACCAGACACACGATTCTGCAGAGCTGGTCAAAATGGTGGTTGGGTTTGCCATAAAAAAAAACAAAATATCACAGGGAACTCAAAGGTAGCAAAAAAAAAAAAAAAAAAAAGAAAAAAAAAAAGGATAGTTATCACTGGTACTGAAAGAAATGGATAACAGTGTCTAGGGAAAGACCAGGTGTAGGGTGGGGAGAGGACTGAGGACACGCGTGGTAGAGGTCAACAAAACAGAACCACTATTCACAACTACAGCCAAGTACTGCACTACACGAGTTATACTGGAGTCCAGTATCTCTTTCCATATTCACCTCGAAATCCTTTTATGATGAAGACGGCGAGCAGGGATACAAAAAAGGAAAACAAAAGAAAATGTGAGAAACAGCACCGTGAAAAACAAACAACTTTGAGCATATGCAGTGTCCAGAGACACACCAGAAGAGTAAATCTTTCCTTAATGTACAGGTCATATAATTATAATATATCTAAATGTGTTTATATTCTATTTACTAACAAGGGCCAGTGCAATTTTATTGTGAAACTACTGCTGCCATTAGCAACTACTAAAAGTGATTTAGCATCTACATCTAAGGGGGTTCTCCGTGATTACCAAGGACCATCTCCAAAGTTCCCTCTGCAGTAAGAAATGATTGTAACAAAAGACAATCGAGTATTACGGAGAGAAGAAAGACTACAATGTGGATGAGAGGATTAGGGAATGAATGTCAGAAGAATATGATGAATTGGACTGCTATGTTCTTCTTCAGCAGCAGCAGCAGCACCAGGGGCAGCAACCACATGTTAAGTGAAAGGAGAATGAGCATGGTAGTGAGGTGAGTGTTAGATGGCCAACTGAGGGGAGACTGGCTGGTCCCAGAGGAGAACGGATTCTAGGCGGGGATGTCATGCAGGAAAGATAGGAAGGTGAGATCGACGCACCGGACCAGAGACCCAACAAAACTCACGGCCCACTACACAAAAATCACAAAGCAGATCATTCCAACGAAGAGGGTTGGTTGGTCATGAAAAAAACATGGCTGATATTTGAAAAAGGGGATATTCTGTTAAAAATCTGAAGAGTACAGTATTATAAAAATATTTGCTTAAAAATATAAAAAGAAATCCACACAAACATCACTTAAAATACAGTACTTTAAAAAAATCTGCAACATATTTTAGTGCAAAATCTCATCAGTAGGATAGAAAGTGCATCTTTAAAGGAGAATTAAATTAAAAATGGCTTTTGCTACATGTTAACAAACTTAACCCAAGATTTGTATACATATTCATGGTAAATATACCATACTCATTCAAGAGGGCATCTCTATAATTAATGAATTATAAGTCATCATCTGACACCGAAACATCTGGGTCATTAATGCTGTATAAATAAATGATGTCTATGTAATTTTTATTGTTACTGTAAGAACCCTGAGCTTTTGAAAAAAAAGCTACAAAATATGAGATTACTGTATATACATATGCACACACACATATGTGTACTCGAATAAAGTTTGCGCTATCACCTCTTTGTAGTTACAGGAATATAACTATGCTTGTAGTGTTTCATCTGTTTTATCTATCATAAATATTTGAAAGTTAACAATGGTTTTGGTATATACTAATACTTATGTGAAGACTTGCCTAAGTGTCTTAAAGAATTGAGCTCCAGCTCTTGGGTTCCATCTCCTAACCATTAATCAACCAGCATGATGCCACCCCCAGCTCATTGGGTTTTGTTGTACAGCCGGCCGTCAGTATGAGCTAGAAATACATTCGTGAGACACTCTTGAATGGCAAAACCACAAATGCTGAGACTGGGATTATGGGAAGATGAGAGATGGGTTTGTTGACTCAAATATTTTTTTTTTTACAATAAATGATCCTGTAACAATTTCACATAGTTATCAATAACACCTTTTCTTCTGCCCACTTATTTTGGTATACTGTATTTAATGCCTCAAGTTTCTCTTCGTAGCTCATGTGTTTTAGGTCTGAGACTGTGTGCATGTACAGGCGAACCTCATTTAACATTGCCCGCAGTTAATATAATTTAATTTTTACATTGTAGGAATATATTAATAGATTTAACATCAGAAAGGAATTTTGTTTTTAGGTTTCCCAACATAAGACAGAGAAAATTATGTAGAAGCCTATGGTGCTTATAGAAAATGAAGTACAGTACAGTTTATGACACCTAAATTAAATATTGCAAATGAACACTGCATTTATACTGTACTGAAAATACAACTTTTGTTTACTGAAAATAATAGCACAAAATACAGTACTGTACATAAAAATTATATAATAGAGTACTGCATAATATAATGCAGCCATATGGCTATGTTAACAAATTATCAAGTGAATTTAACTGCTGCTGAAACAAATGCATCTCACCAGCTGATCATGGCCATAAATAAACAAGGTGTGAATTCCATGCTCGATATTATTAGTAATGAATATCCTTGGACAAGAAGGCCTGATGAGTAAATGGCCTATAACAGGAAGTAATCCTAATGAAAAGCCAAAGAAACAAAGGAATACAGTATTGTTAGAAACTAAGCTAAAACTGCTAGATAGGTATAACAAGAATGAGTAAGCAAAAAATTACCAAATATCATCTTTCCCAGCACCCTTTGAACATAACACTTACTTATAACACAACATTTTTAAGGTTTTTGGTTTCACTTAATGTCATTTCAGATAAAATTGCAGTTCTCAGAAACCTAACCCCAACGTTAAATGATGTTCGCCTGTAATTGTGTGTAATTACCTAAGTGTACTTACAGGATAAAAGGTACGGTCATGGAGTCCTGTCTTCCAGTAATCTTTGTCATTGGATTCTTTGAAACTATTGATGGTTTTGGCAACCACTACCTTCTCACTTAACTTTTTCTTGTTATATTATATCTAAATTGCAGACTGTTCCAACACTACAATTTTGTTCACTAAATTTTACAATTTTGTTCACAAAACAGCTTTCTTACATATTTCAGTACTCTATCTTTATTTCCATAGCTTAACTTTATGACCTCTTGTTCTTGAAGTTGCAGATTTAAAAAAATCCTCCTTGTCTATTTTTTCAATTCCTGTTACAAAATCCTCCTTGTCTTTTTTAAATCCTGTTACAATTTTGAATGTAGTGATCATATTGCTTCTTTCCTCCTATCTTCTAGACTTGGCATATTTAACATCTCCAGCCTCTCCTCATAGCTCAGGTTCTTAAGGTCTCAGAGCTATTCATTATCATGTCTTTACATCTTTTCTTGTTTGTTTATGCACTCCTTGACCACTGCATATAATTACATGATATTCCAATATTAGTCTCACAAATTGCATGAACAGCTTCTTTAATATTTCTCCATTCATGTTAAGAGGTTTTTAGTATCTTTTCACATAATTTGTAGTTTAACCACCACACTGCACAGAACTCCTCGAGGCACTAGATTGGATGTATGCAGAGCGCCTTGAGGCACTAGATAGGGGGGAAGGGGGTGCACAGAGCACGTCAGGGCGATCGTAGGTATAGCGTAGGATTCAAAACTAGTGCCCGGTGACCTGGGTACGAAATAGATGCTGAGGCCTCCAGTCATTGTCGGCCATTTTGAAAAAAAATCCCAGCATGCCCCATGGTCATGAGGATCGTCAGTATCGAGGTAGCAACCATGTCTACGAGCTCCCGGTCCACGGTCAGCCATGGTGTTGAAAAACAACTCTCAGAAGCAGAAATATGGGACAAATTGTTTGATGATGGACCGATTACTGACGATTTAGACTACAGTCCAGATAAAGACCTAACACAGGCGTCTGACACGAGTGATGGGGACAGTGAAGTAGACGATGTCAAGAGTGTGTACAGTACACACGCCTTGTCTGGCCTCCCACGCCGCCCTAGGTCAACACCACTGGTGTTACCATCACCATCTGTGTCAGCAGATGTGAGTCTACTAAGTGATAGTATAGGTGATGAGTCATTTTCAGGGTTCAGTGACATAGGCTCAGATACAAGCAGTGTTGATGAACCGAGTACAAGCAGCTATGGTGTTACTAGGCGGGGTTTTGCTGCCCCAGCACTCGCCAAGGCAAGCACCAACATGTCATGCAGCCTGAGAGCAATGACGACAGTGAGCCCCTCGACATCAGGTGTTCGTTGTAGGCCTATACTACGCAGAACAGCCTCATCTCTTGGCATACCCATACGCAGCTCTAGCACAAGACGATGGAGCCGTGGTGTTGGTGCCCGTGCTGGTGGTGTTCATGCTGGTTTTGGCCGTGGTGTTGACACCAAAACCAAAAACACAGGTGTACTTGTCTGGGAGGATTATGACAATTTTGTCCCACAAATTCCTGCATTTGATAATACCGATGTTGATGTACACCCTTATTCCCCTATACTGATGATGATATGGCTGAAATATATTAATTTATTTTTTGCACAATTCAATCAGCCATTCATGGACCATCTCATTGCAGCGATGAACCAATACGCTCTGGCACTCATTGATTCTGAAATTTTACCTGCCTCTTGACTGACACGTTGGAAAGACACGACTATTGAGGAAGTGTATGTGTGTTTTTAGCATTGTGCATGATGATGATGAGGCATGCAGATAAACATGTGATCCAGGATTATTGGAACAAAGACAGCCTTGTTCCAACCCTCCTTGTTCAACAGGTACATGCCACGTGATAGGTTCCTGCCGCTTCTTAGATGCCTGCACTTTGAGAACAATGATAATGAAGACAGACACAACAGACTGGAAAGTGTGGAAGATATTTAGTGAATTGAGAGGAAAGTTCCGTGACTATTTTGTACCAGCACAGAATGTCGTGATAGATGAATCTCTAGTTCTCTTCAAGGAACGACTGGTGTTCAAGCAGTATATACCATCAAAGCGGCACAGGTTTGGACTAAATTTCTTTGTGTTATGCGACTGCGAAACTGGTATCTTCTTGAGGTTATCTTGAGATGATTTCGGGGCTTTTGTGTCCCGACGGCCCGGTCCTCGACCAGGCCTCCACCCCCAGGAAGCAGCCCGTGACAGCTGACTAACACCGAGGTACCTATTTTACTGCTAGGTAACAGGGGCATAGGGTGAAAGAAACTCTGCCCATTATTCCTCGCTGGCACCCAGGATTGAACCCGGGACCACAGGATCACAAGTCCAGTGTGCTGTCCGCTCGGCCGACCGGCTCCCTGCATGACCGGTATTGTTATGGACGTGATATTGTATTCAGGTACAGACGTTGACACACCAGATCAAGATCCACATGGGTTCTCAGGCAGTGTCGTGAAAACACTCATGGAACCATTGCTGAA